TAGTGACAAGAATAAAGATGATAGTTTACCTAGATGATATACCTATGCATGAACAAGAGGTTGGCTATATGTACCAAAGAAGGAAGCCTACATTAATGAAAGTCGCAATAAGAGGTATAATACTGGTGATTGCAAGTTTCATGTTAATATTCACCGCCAGAAAGATAATCTAATCTACATAACAAAGATTGAGAACCAGTATAGCCATGAGCTTGTGAGAAATATAAATGCCCTTTATCATATTATAGAAAGCTCACTCCAGCAATGTGTAATGATATAAAATTACTAGCGGAATGTGGTGTAAGAGTTGATGCAATAATTGAGGTTTTGCAGTATAAAATCTAGGAAAATATATTTACCCTGCAACGTCTATAATTTCATTCAATCTATTCGCCACCAAAATTTTGTTCAGAGTGATGCTTGCTCTGTATACCTTGAATTAATGAAGCAGAAGCAAGAAAATCTGGCCTTCCATGTTGATGCTCAATTTGAAGGTCAAGATAATCATCTCGCAGGACTTTGCTGGATGAGACCATCTCAACAAAAGCTTTGGGCTCGTTTTCATGATATTATTCTTCTTGACACAATAGCAAAAACCAACTGTTATTCAATGATTTTATGTGTTGTAGTTCTTGTAGACAATTATAATCGCTCCTGTTTTGCTACTACAGCTCTTCTTTCTGATAAAACCAAGGACAGTTTTATATGGCTATTTACTAGCCTTTTAATACAACAGGGGGTTAGTACCAAGCTTGCTTTATACTGATGCTGATTCTACTATAATCACTGTAGTAAATACTTCCTGGCCAATGACAAAACATCATTTTTGTCTATTTCATATACAAAAGAATTTAGAAAAACATTTTATAAGCAGATATGGTGATGATAAGTGGCGTAAATTTTTTTCTGTATTTGTTATGTACGCAATAGTCATATAAAATCGATTTTTAAGAAAAGGTGGGCTGCGCTATTAAATGAATATCCAGAAGCTACAAATTACCTGCATTGTCATCTTTATCAGTATCGAGAAGCCTGAGCACTTTGTTATATGTATCGGGTGTTTAATATGGGAATACAAAGTATGCAATGTGTCGAATCCTATAATGAAATTATTAAGAACAATGTTAATAAAAAATGTCGCTTTTAGAACTTGAGCATGCAATTGAAAAATTGTTAGTAAAAGAAAGCTGGTTCATTAATTTTAATGAAGCTATTGGCAAGCTACCTGCAAGCCACGATGAGGATTACTATGATTATTACTTCCAAAAAGTTGATATATCATATCAATATTATTTAATACCAGTATTGCTTAAATTACAATGGCATGAAATGAACAGAAGAATGTATTATCAATGCCGATTAGCTAATTTGGATTACGAACTTGGACGACAGGTATATATTAATTATTCAATTTGTATTTGATAAGAATTTTGACAGAATGTGGATCGATTGTATTGTCACATGATACTGGAAAACAAATGTAAAAAAAGCTTTGTTTATGTTAGGGCAGTGACAGATATTACATAATATCCTAGAGAGAAAGGGTACCTAGAGATGATATTATATATATATAATTATATATATATATTTTATATATGATTATATATGATGTGGGGGGGAGAAGGGTAACCCCTTGATAAAATGATATTACGTAATATATGTCACAGCTCTTAAAGTTAGGTTAAATTAAAGTTAGATTGGGTTAGGGTTAGAAGGGCAATAATTTAGTGAGAAATTTTTTGTTAGAAAGAGTATTTATTTTGAAAATTTTTTAAGAACATTTGTTTTGAATTTTGCTTGTTTTGAATTTTTGCGTTATACCTGTTCCTGATTTTTAATTGGCTAATTGATGTAAGAAAATCATATGACAATGAAATCAATCTTATGTCTTAGTGTTGTTTTTTTTGCAGGTGCCTTATATTATACTTTTTATTTTAGATTAATTCTGATTCACCAAGGGCCATGTTTTCTGAAGATATATTTGATGCCTGTCTAGTAGAACTTAATCAGCTGATCTCTGGTCTTGATACGATAAGAATTCGTGAACTGTAGCATGTGCACTCTATTAATAAGAAGAGTAAACATTTTGTTGTATTATATGATGACTTTGGATACCTTTGTATATGCTTAATATTAATAAATCATAGCCTTATATATCATTATTTTTTTGCCACTATGCTTGTATCCCTGAATACTAAATTCCACATTAGACTCATACCACAACGTTGGTATCAAGATTTGTTTGTGTTGAAGGCTAGTTTTTCTGCTAAGCCAGTGATTCGATTTCAGTGATATTATGTGAGAAATTTGGTACCATTGAATATGATGCTACCAATGTTGATTTTTCACACTTGAATAACCTCTGGAGAAATCATATCTTTACTGACAAAGTTCACGAAGAAATAATTCGAAAATAGCAATGGGAAAAGGATTTGGTCTCATAAAAAAAACATTAAATTTGGCTATTGCAATAGATAGAGTAGAGGAGCTTTATGCAATTCACAAGAACTTTGTTAGTGAAATGGAGAATGAAGTTGCAAGTCAAATTAGATGTGCTGATAATATCACTGAATTTGCACTTACTATCAACAATCCTATAGGTGTCAAGACAAAGAGTTGGCCCAAAGGTTCAAATAATGCAAATGCCGATATTAAGAGAAAAAGAAAACAGATACCTGAATCTGATCAAGAAGACAAAGAATATAAGACTATACAATCTCAAAAAATACTACAAGATGCAGAGTTAAATATTAATGAATCTAGTAAAACTAAAGGAAGAAAATATGGTATTTGTAATAAAGGAGGGCACAATGCTTATACTTGCTTTAGAGGAAGTTAGTATGATATCGGAAGCCTTGTTTTGATAAATTGTAAATTGTATTTAAATTTTAAATCAATAAAGCAATTTTTATTACACTAAACTTGGATAATATATTTAGAATTAAGATTTAGGATGATTTTTTGTTTTTTGAATTTGAGTTATTTGGTCCAATCAATTAGGGATCGAAACTGTTTAATTCACAACACTGGGCCTAAAAATTAAAATATTAAATATATAGATTCCAATTGGAATGTATAAGTCCAATTCAAATTCAAATTACTATACTTATGAAGGTAACTAACACTGGTCAATATGGTTAAATGGCTAGTAAATTTTAGGCAGTTCTGATCTAAGATTCTATTTAATAACATTTTGTATTCATGTGTAAAAGAGTAATTTCTCTCATTATCAGAGCAGCCCTCAAAGTGTGGATTACGAATTATACTAATTTTGGTCTTAACTTTATTGTTATTTCAATTCATTATTACATTTATCGTAATGAGGGATATTAAATCCGAATCCCTTAATAAAATATCCATCCTATATAATTATGTTATGCCCAAAGCTAACTGAGATGCTATTAAATAAAATCACAAGGTATCTATTTGTCATAAGAACATTTACCATCAGAGGGAAAGAAGGTAATAGCATCCAATTAGTTATAGTAGAGTTTTCGATAGCCAGGTGGACAGCCCGGATATCCAGAGTAAGTTTGGTAGCCTGATCAAACAGGTTAGGTATCAAAACTATAACTGAGAGAAGTAAAATAACGTAGAAGTGAATAACCGATCCTAGGAAACGAGCTGTAGATCACGTGAGCAACGAGGCGATATCCCATATAATATATTTTTTGTTGTTTATGTGATCGAGTGACAAATTGTCATGCATAAAATTGCTCACCTAATCCTGAGTATAATACCAGCTTCACTTATTTTAGCTTTATTTTTATTGGTCCAAATTTACTGGTGTTCAACACTAATATTTTTTTTTTTTTTTTGTTTATTTTTTTGTTTACAATTGGTCATTATACAAAATTGTCGATCGACAATTTGATTGGCTAGATCAAAATATGGTATTAACACTAGTGGTGCGATATATCAACATCCTTTATTTATTACATATTTATTATATATTTATTACATATTTATTATATATTTATTATATATATGCTCTATACTATTTTTGTTCTTTAAAAAGACAAAGTAGTTCATTCAATACCAATTATCCAATGGTTCTGAATCACCATTCCCAGCACTATTTTCTGTACTCAAGTCTAGTAAAATACGAATCTACAAGAGAAAAAACAGTTAGAATGAAAAAATAATATAAGAAAAAAAAAATAAAGCAACCAAAACTGGTACTTATCTAGTTTATATTCCGAATCACCATTCCTAGCGCTATTTTTTGTTTCCAAGCCAAGCAGAATACGAACCTACAAAAGAGAAAACATTAGTAGAATGAAAAGAAAAAAAAGACAAAGCGAAAAAACTGATACTTATCTTTTTATATCAGTTCACGTTCTAAATTACCATTCCGAATTACATTTCCAGTACCAGTTTCTGTATCCAAGACAAGCAGAATACGAACCTACAAGAGAGAAAACATTAGTAGAATAGAACAATAACACAAGAAAAAAAAGCAAAAGCAACTAAAACTGACACTTGCCTTTTTGTCAGTTTACGTTCTGAATCACATTCCCAGTGCTATTTCTACAAGAGAGAAAATGGTAGTAGTTCATGTTCTGAATCACCATTTCGAATTACATTTCTGGTGCTATTTTCTGTACCCAAGCCAAGCAAAATATGAATCTACAAGAGAGAAAACCATTAGTAGAACGAAAAAATAACAAAAAAAAAGTCAAAGCAACTAAAACTAACACTTGCCTTTTTATGTCAGTTCACATTCCGAATCACATTCCCGGTGCCATTTCTACAAAAAATAAAATAGTAGTAGTTCATATTATGAATCACCATTCCGAATCACATTCCCGTTACTATTTTCTGTACCCAAGCCAAGTGAAATACGAACCTACAAGAGAGAAAATGTTAGTAGAACAAAAAATAATACAAGAAAAAAAAACCAAAGCAACTAGAACTGAAACTTGCCTTTTTATGTTAGTTCACGTTCTAAATTACATTCTCAGCGCCATTTTTACAAGAAAAAAAATGGTAGTAGTTCATGTTCTGAATCACCATTCCGAATCACATTCCCAGTACCATTTTCTGTACCCAAGCCAAGCAGAATACGAATCTACAAGAGAGAAAATATTAGTAGAACGAAAAATAATATGAGAAAAAAAAGTCAAAGCAACTAGAACTAACACTTGCCTTTTTATGTCAGTTCACATTCCGAATTATTATTCTGAATCATATTCCTGGTGCCATTTTCTGTACTCAAGCCCAGTGATCCTGATTCTGTTCTTCATTAACTTGCTGTCTGGTAAAACTACCTGGTATTTCAGCAAAGCCATATCTATAAAGAAAAGAGCAGTTAGTATTAGTTCAAGAAAAGAACAAGAAAAAGCAAATAGTGAAAAGAATAAAAGAGAAATACTTACAAAAAGAT